ACTCCTGGAAATGCATATGTATGTGATATTATCGGGATACAGCTCGAGGGGTTGGCTTTTCTTCACCGAGCAGCTAGAGGCTAAAATATAGCTGACCAACACTTCCGTTAGTTTCTAGATCAACGCACGATGCGTTATAATGGTAAAATTCGAGCAAGTTTAAGAAGGTTTAATAAGAGATTTTTTTTCCACCAGTTCTACGAGACCTGTGGCGGGAGAGAATTGTTGCTCAAGTTGTTGGATATGCACTAACTTTCTTCTTTTCGTCTTGTGCCGGGAAAAGATCAGAGACCGATCTTGTGATGATACAATGTTCCACTACACGGGCTCTCTGTAGGAACTTGTAGCATCATGTCTATTTGCGATTTCTATTTTATCCAGCTAGCCCATCCCTTAGATTCCTAATAACTGGCCATTGTTAAATATGGACTCCCGAAGCAGCTACCAGTCATGCCAACTTTTCTGGCGAAGCTCCCATCTTCATACTCCAGTCCTCGACCATCTTCAGGACGTTCCTCTGTTTCCCGTCATAGTCGACATGCTTCATCCATTCGGCCAGGCTCTTGATCCGCTTGGGGTGGATACGATCCAGGATTGCTGTGTCCCGTGGCTTGGTGATCCCTTCTCCCCAATAACGCCACCAAGCCCCGAAGTTCTCGCGCCAACTCATGATAGACTCGTCCCGAACTGCGTCTGGGCCGAGAGCCCAGTTGACAGATGCACCAGGGTAGGGCTCTGCATGAGATGCATATGCCTCGAATGGGATAGACTTATGGACTGCGGCTCTGCCCGTGATTTCGCTAAATATGTTGGCAATCTCTCCGAAGCTGACATTGTCTGTCAAGACTTGAAGGTCAATCCCCGCCGACTCGGATGGGTTGTTGAAAATCCAGAGATTGTAGACTCCGACATCGCATAGAGCTATCATTGGGAGCTTCACATCACTCTCTTCAATAGAGTGTGTTAGTTCTAAGAGGGCTAATAAAAAGGGGAAAGTTGAAGCGGACGCGCTTCTCTTGGGCAGAAATATAGAGAGACTCACGGGCTGGATTGACCCACATAAGCGACCCGTCCGGTTGCTCCACAGGCACGAACATACCATCCAAAAGCATGTCCATGTACGGACCGGTGCTGAAAAGGGTGCTTTTCATGTCCTTTTGCCCTTGTGCCAGTATGAATTTGCCAATTCTTCCCTTGGACTCCATGTGGCCACAATGATACTTCTCGTCGAAGTTGGCGGCTTCCATGGCATATTCGATGTTCGCCCAGACGTAGTGCTGCACGCGCTCCGACCTCGCAATCTCGTAGGCCCTAAAGCCGTAGAAAAGCTCATCCTTCTCTCCCAGAGTGAAACCGTCGGTGTTGACCCAGGCTCCGTAAACGCCTCGAAAGACAGCGTGGAGGTCCTGCTGGTTGTCCTGAGTACCCTGGAGCAACGTCACATTTGGGAGAATAGCAAGTTGTTTTGCACGAGAAGACTCAGTGTTGCGGGTCAAGACTCTAAGCAAATATCGTCCGCTCTCGGCAAGGGCTATATCGGAAGTCAGCGTAAGCCACCTCCGGGGGAGAGATTTCACTTTGCCATATACCTTTCACCACGGGCATGCCTTGAGCACCCGTGCCGCCAATGACAGCGATCTCTTTCAAGTTAGACATTTTTTTGGATCCTTGTAATGCTGCGATACTAGTTCGGTAACTTATTATGTGAAAATTAGTTGAAACTAGCTAGTAGAGTGTGAGTAGAAGGAAAGGTGGTTGGAATTATATATTTCTGAGCGGTAGCGCAAGAATCCGAGCGCTGCTTCTTCCATGAGTAAGCATGGCTACTCGATACTTCTTGTTGGAATATCTTCCGTAGATTGAGCGGACAATATTATTCATCTTGAAGAATAATTGCCCTAGAAAGAAAAGACGGAACCACCGCGACGCCGTCGCTTGAAGTTAATGTCGAGCTGAGGGGTGGTATTTTGGTGGTATTTTATCACTAAGGACAGGATTATTCATCGAGTACCCATTCTCTTTTGTCTTTGTATGGTAACGGGGTATACAATACTCGGAATACCAGCGTCGTAACACGCTAGGAACGGCTCCCGAGGTCTGATAACGCTTCAACAGCGAGATCCGGCTAGAACACAGGAATGCATCTCAATGGGACACTTCAATACTAGCACCTACCAGTATTCTAGAATCCGACAGTTAATTCTATGGATCCCGCGAAATGTAGTAATCGGGTTCGTGTAAGGAGAATTGAGTGCTAGCGTCGCACTGGATTCAGTTTACATGTGTATTCATCAGGCCGAGTAATGAATCATTGGCTTTTTAGGAACTTTGGAAACTTTGAAGTTCGCATAATTAGTTAACTAGTTCAGCCACTGCATGTTTAGTAATCGGGCCGTCGATCCATGGATGGTCTATGGATTGATGACAATAGATGTCCGAAAGAGACAAATCAAACCTTCAGCAGGCATCTGGGACCAATAAACCATTCCTTACAAAGCCCTTGCTGTTTCCACGAACAATCCAAACACAAAACTGCGTCGAGCTTCGCCATCCTACCTCACTGTGAAGCTTTCAACCCAACAAGTATCTTGAACTAGTTCTTATTTGTGCAACTTCCCTCTCAAACCCTCAAAATGACATCACAAGTCTCGAAGATATTTGTCGTTGGCGGCACCGGCGCTCAGGGCATACCAGTTATTTCAAGCCTCGTGCGCGACCAAAAGTACCAAGTTAGAGTCCTAACTCGCTCACAAACTTCTTCCCGTGCCAAGCACCTGGCATCTCTTGGCAATGTGGAATTTGTTGAAGGCACGTTTGCCAGTGAATCTGATCTTCGTCGGGGCTACCAAGGTTGTGATGGAGCTTTTATCAACATTGATGGGTTCAATTGTGGCGAAAAAACCGAGACCTACTGGGCGATTCGCGCCTACGAGCTTGCCCTGGAAGAGGGAATCAAATTCTTTGTCTACGGGAACCTGGACTATGGATACAAGAAGAGTGGATACGATCCCAAGTTCCGCTGCGGACATTATGACGGAAAAGGACGGATTGCAGAATGGGTGCTTTTCCAAACCCAATCCAACCAGGATCGAATGAAAGCTTCCGTTTTCACATCTGGTCCTTACATTGAGATGACCGTTGCGAACGGAACACCTATGACCCCAACCGTGGAAGATGGGATCGTGACTTGGCGGGCGCCACTAGGTACAGGTGCTGTACCCCATGTGTCGCTAGATGATTGCGGGTACTATGTCCGATGGTTGTTCGACAACATCGACAAAGCAAATGGATTGGACTTGCAAGTTGCTGTTGAACATGTCCACTATGAGGATCTAGCCCGTGCTTTTGAAGCCGTCACCGGCCATCAAGCGCGTTTCATCGACGTGGACCTCGAAACATACTGGGCGACAGGTCCAATGAGCATGGCTGCAGACTTCGGCAGTGGTTATAACTCCGATCCCAATGATCCAGCTTTCATGACCATTCGACAAAATTTTACTGGGTTCTGGAATCTGTGGAAGCATTCCGGCCACAATCAAGGGGTTATTAAGAGAGACTACAAGCTTCTTGATGAGATTCATCCGAACAGAATTAGAACCGTTGAGCAGTGGTTCCGGGAGATCAATGCTCGGGGAATCGAGGATGGGAGTGGGTCCCTGTGGGACAAGGTGCAACTAGGGAATCTGAAGCCTATTTTGAAGATGGCGGAGGATGGGATGCAGGGAAAACTTTGAATCATCCTATGGCCCTATCTCTCAGGACGAAAGTCCCGCTAGGCCATTGGTGATCGGCCTATGTTCAGCGACTATTCAACCTAGTCATTCTTTGCCATTTGTAAATATACTTGCCCGTGTTTGCTCTATTAGGCCGCCACATAAGACAGACATTAAATATCCAGACAAAGAATGAGGGAACACTTTGGTTCTGAGATAAAAAACATAACTCTAAAATTCACATTTACCTTTGCGTAGGTGTCTGGCTATAGAGAACCATGTTCAAAACTAGCGAGTGTCGAACCAGAGAAATTTAAGGGTTTTATACTGTAGACCAGTATCGACATCCGCTTCATGTTGAATATTATATAAAGCTCTTGGATATGCAAGACGTTGGTCATTTACTTCCGGTAGAGTGGAAGTATCGCGGCCCAGTATTTCCGTCCTGATCCGCTTGCAGTGAGTTCAGGAAAGCCGGAGCCGCAAAAACCGCTCTGTATTTGCGTACATCGGGCAGCCTTGGGTTGCTTCCCACGGGTTTATATAAGTCCGTTTACATAAGTTCGTTTAGGGCAGTCGGGGCAATTTCCAAAACGTCCACTTCCGGTTAACTGTTTCGCATCGCATCGTTTTGTACCGTACCGTATTGTCGTATTGCGGGCGTAGCCACCAGCCAGGACTCGCAACTCTGCTCTCCCTGCTTTAAAACCGCACTGTCGCTTTTGTCAGCCACTTCTAGCCTTGATGCGCCTCTTTGGTGTAATAAGGGGTATAAAATGGGGAGTTGAAATGAAAATGATATTCATCAGTGATCACCTCAACTCAAAAACAAACACGCTCAAAACAAAAAGACAGATACGCAACACAACAGGACAAGTCCAATGAGCAGTTGCCCCTGGCCTGGGTGACAGCTAGGCTGGCTGAGCCCAGCCGAGTGACATACTCCAGGCCGGAATGAGACATCAAACGGCCCATGCCGCCGGGCCAAATCGTACATCGTCCTCCTCCCCCGGGCAACTCAAACAAGAAGCATCCCCCTTCCCACCATGATTGTATTCGTGCCCCACCACGCTTGAGGATCAGGCGTGGTGGCAGCACCGCAAGGCCGAGGAAGCCGATGAGGAAGCCACCGCTGCTCTCCCCACCGGCACCTAGATGACAAGAAAATGAGTTAGCAATGAAGCTGATGTGAGTCTAAAGCGATAATAGACTGAAGTGAAGCTGACTGGGGCCCAGGGGAAAAGGAAAATGTAAGACAAACCTTGCATTCAAGTAAGCATTACTTGCCTACGCCTCGTCCAGGTAGGCGTCCTCGTCGCCGTCGCTGGAGTCATTAGCGCCATTGCCCTCCGCCAAGATGGCGTCGAGGCTGGCCTCGAGGGCCTCGCCGTTGACATACGGGGCAGCTTCCCGTCCCTCATCCTCATCGGAGAGGTGGTCCACCCCCTCGTGGTTGGGGAGTGAAATAGTGGCCGGTTTGACTTCAGCCTCCTCGTCAGTCTCGTCAGTCTCGTCATCGGGTGCGCGGTAGAGAGGGTTGAAGTCAGTGGGGTGGGGAGCGCGCCATTCGTTTCCGTGGGAGTGACCATTGGTGAATCCTCCATTGGAGGTCAAGGGGCCGTCCTCAATGGGGGCGCGACGGAAAGGGTTGTAGATGTTCTGGGGGATACTGCCCACTCCAGAAGAAAAAGGATTGTTGCTTTGGGAGGGATGGCCCCAGACAGAGCGGAAAGGGTTCATAGTTTGGGGGCCATTAGCCACGCCAGAACGGAACGGGTTGTTGGTGGTCTGGGGGCCATTGCTCATACCAGAGCGGAACGGGTTGTTGGTTGTCTGGGGGACATTACCCACGCCAGAGCCGAAAGGGTTGTTGGTCTGGAAGGCATTGCCCCAGCCAGAGCGAAACGGGTTGTTGGCAGTCTGGGGCCCGTTGGTCAGGCCAGATCCGACATGGTTGGTGACGGTCTCTGGGGCAGAGTCCTCGCCAGAAGAAGAGAGGTTGGTTTCATCCTCCATGTTGAACAGATACGACGAGAAATGATGATTTGAAAGCTAATAGAAAGAAAAGAACAGACTATACGCAAGCTGGATTGCAATGATGGTTTGATTGAAAGCGAGAAGGGGACACGACAAGAGCGAGTCCTGTTCTATGAGAACGTTTGCTGCGTGTGCACCCCCAACGAGGAAGGACCCCCGTTGAAGACCACCATACTATGATAATCTGATATACTACGAACTTTGGTCTTCAGTTCTTTCTTCGTTGAAGTATGTTGAATTACGATACTATATTGATATAGATCTGCGGCTTCTTATAGTTCTCGGCATGCCGAACTATATTTCTTGGCATCCCGGTCCGATCATCGGCTGTTTCCAAGGCTTTGAGCCCCACTGTTGGGTCCAGCAGGAGAAAATTCGGCTTTAAAAGACAAAAGAAGCAGAAACAGGATCAATTCAGACAAGTGGCGGGTCTGTTCTTTAAGTTGCAGAACAATCTTCTTTTCATTATCGTCATCCCAAAAGTCCAAGTGTGGTATACTTTATATATCACCTAGCCCTAGTCCAAATCAACAGCACTAGTGAGATCTACAAGCTCAAGAGCCGAGTAATCTGAGCCCGTTCTGCAGTATGTACCCCGATCGGCAATTAAAAAAAAGCCCCTCTAACATGCATGAACTAGACTCAATATCGGCTTCATACATACTTCCCAGAATGTCAAACATTTCACAAACAGCCCGTCGGCTTTTCCGATCGCAAAACCTTTCAGCGTTCAGAGCATACTCGCCTGCAGTGCCTATTGCCCGTCTTCACCAGCAAGGCCCAAAACGGTCGGCGGTCGTTCACGACCAGGCACTACCAAGCCAAACAGAATCACCCTCATTCTTTTCTCATACCAAGTCACAATCAACACCCGCTCAATCACCACGCCATGAATCTACAAGCCTCGACACCCTAGTCTCCCAAATCCCTCTCGTCCAAACACTCCGCAAAGCCCACAGCACCTACAGGGAAACACGTCCCCATCTCGCAATCCCACCACCCATCAGACAGCATCACTTCGTGGGTGGAAGCTTAGCTGGTCCAGGCAAGCTTGCATTCGCACCATACATGTGGCTATCAACCGGCAAGTCTGAAGCACAGGCCGAGAATGCCGACCGAGCCAGCAGCGTTGTATCTGTATTCCACATCGGTCAGGATCTCTGTGGTCACCCTGGCTTTGTTCATGGTGGTCTGCTCAGTGTTCTCTTTGATGAGGTGTTTGCTCGCTGTGTCTCTGCGACTTTCCCCAGCGGGCTGGGTATGACGGCTAATCTCAATGTGGATTTCCGAAAGCCGGCTCTTCCTAACCGGATGTATGTGCTGCGCACAAAGACGGTTAAGGTCGAGGGCAGGAAGGCTTGGGTTGAGGGTCGGATGACTTATCTTCCTTTGACTTTGCCATCTGCGGAGTCGCATAGCATTGTTGCTGATCCTAGTCTGCTGCAGGAGGACAGTGAAGGTGCGGTAATGGTTGCTGAGGCTAAGGCTTTGTTTGTTGAGCCTAAATTTGCGGATGTGAGTTATTCCTTTCTTCTATATGTATGAAGCGCATTTAGCTAACAGTTTTCACAGTCTATGGTGAAGATTTATTCGAGCTAGAGTGTCTTTCGTGAAAAGTGGATATCCCCTTACGTTATATAAATCATAGTTATAGAGTTATAGATTCATAGATTCATAGACTATTATAATGATAGATTTACTAATTCGGCCATGATACTCGAAACCCATTAAGTACTGACAAAATTGAAGACAATTCTTCCACACATATATTCCCCCTTTGTCGTCATTACCACCCCTCGACGAGAGAAGTATCGCGAGTCCCCAAACATCTCAAACCCCCAGATCTGCAACCCAAGTAGTCAGTTTCCGATATTACATTTAACCCGAGATGACAATACATTGCAATACTAACCTGCTCAGCCGTCCATCCGGACTTGACATTCCTCTCAAAAGTATGTACCCAAAGACCAGGACCCTCTTCAACCATCCCACTCCAATCCTCAACTATAAAACCCGCGGATTTACTCCCATCCGCCTCGATCTCACCTCGCATGAATTTCTTTATCTGCGCATTGACATTTGCTGTCTGAAACTCAAATTCAGGCCTTACGATCCCATCTGCATCAACAGCGCCGTGAACGAATTCACTCTGTGCTTTGACCTCGCCGAAGAAATAGTCCTGGTGGTCTGATATTTTCCAATCCAAGACGCGCTCCTCCTTGGTTGGGGCCAGACCTGCACTAGCAGTTTGGTTGAAGTCAATATGTGTCGATGGTTCGGTCGTTTCAGAGGCTGGTGTTTGGTATTGCGAGATTTGGAGGTATATTGTTGCTAATCCGAATGCCTTGCGGAGCAACCAAGATACCTTTTGCTGCAGATAGTATAGGATGATTAGCTTGGGATTTTAGTAGAAATGGTGGAGATCATTCGAACCAGCTTCAGGATAGGGTCTGGCTCGCTGGTTAGGTCCTTGTTCTGTGGACAGTGATACGATTAGAATCTATTATCTTCGACTGAGGAGAGTATAATTACCAGGACCCAGTTGCCGTTGAGGCATTCAATGGTAATCTCCCGAGGAGCAGCCATAGCACAAGGAGGGTTTTATCCAGTTCAACAACAGGCAATCTGTTGAATATATATGTTGCATCTTGCCACGGGTGATTCATCGGAGAGCTCGGAGGAATATGAAAGCCACAACTATTTAATGGGGCAATTGAGCCCTACGTCTTTACGTACGTTTCATTGGAATAGACATTGTGCTACAGTACGTTTGTACAAAATGATACCTCAGTATGGGTGAACCCACACCAGATTTCAGTAGAAAGTGATCATTTGCTATCTAATACCACTATCGTAAGGAACCCCCGCCATGACGCCTTTCGACCCAGATGGCATATGAAGAAAAAGACAACAGAGAAACAGCCCGTCCGGAAACTTGGGAATTGGGGGGAGGAACAAAGCAGAAACAGGTCGCACGTCGTTGCATCGTGAATGGTTTCTCGTCCTGGCCGAGAAAGATGGAAGCCAGCAAAAGAGAAAGGGCAGAGGAGATAGTGGAGGTCCCTGTCAACAGGTCTAGGAAAGATGGAAAGCTCCTTGGCCTTCCTTGATGGCGACCGAGAGGCGCTTCTTGAGAACGTCCAGATCGCTATAGTCTGGCAACTTCAGGTAGTTGACGCAGGTCATCACACTGGGAAGATAGTCGTCTGGTGTATATGGATGCTCGCTTGGGCGGCACACGACAGTGAAGATCGGTGTAAGACTCTTGAAACCTATATTGATTGTGTTAGTCAGTGGGATTCCATGCGGTGGAAAATGGGATTAACATACCTCCAATGGGGAGCTTGGGGCTACCAGTGACAAACTGAAGGAAATCTCGGCGTTGCTGGTTGTCCAGCTCGCTCATAGTCTGCAGCAGGTTGCGTACACTCCGACTGTCCATATTGAACCCGTGATCGGCCTTGATGGAGTCCATTAAGGTCTCGATTGACCAATCCTCCTCCGCTTGCCCGAAAAGCATAACAAGCTCACTTGGAGTAAAAGCACGAAGGGAGGAGAAGGGGAAGACTTGCGAGAACCCAGCCCGGAAGGCATCCACCTGACGCCTGACACCGCTGCCCAAGGTCATGTCAATCACCCGTTCGATGTAAACGTCAACATTTTCGATCGTCAACGGCACATCGGCGCCACCAGGAATCAACTCAATAGCAGGATATCCAGGTAGAGTGAAGTCCAAACCCAGGTCGTCAACATGGGCACCGTGGACCGTGACGCTTTGCACTGCCTCGATTTTGCGGGTTGGCGAAAGCGACTTGTCTGCCTCAATGGCGTTTTTGGCATTGACAAATTCTTTAAGCATGATCAAGGACTTCGCGAGGTCCTGATCAACCAGCTTGACAGTTCCTAGGGATGGTGCCACTGAGGACAGGGTATCCGCGATACGGAAGAATGCCGGATTGAACGAAATGTCGATGATCCGGGAGTCAAGCATCGAGCGTGCAACGAACTTTCCGAGCACCTTGAAGATGTTCAATTGCTTCTTCCCGATATCTTGGGCTGCTTGTTCGTCACTCATCGGGGCTGGGAACAGGCCGCGCTTGCCAAATGCATATTCTGTAGCAGAGCTCCCGTCCGTGTCTCTCCAGATCTTAAGCTTCTTCTTCGAGAACTCCTTAGAAACAGTAGAGTAGAATTCAAGAGTCGGTCCTAATCCAGTACCAACTTCTTCGAAGTATTCAACCTCGAGGATGCTGGGGGAAGACCCATAGAGTTCCATGACCTTAAGTGCAGAATCAAGGATACGGGAACGAGAGATCCGCACCTTTTGGCGCTGCAGCCGCCCAAGGAATGGGCGATCATCGCGGCGCAAGTCCCGTCGGCTGTCCTCGCCATTTTGAGAATTTTGCCATCTCATCATCGCCCGTGAATAGCCGAATGCAGTTGACTGCAGGAATAGATGCCTTGTCTCGAATGGGAACAAGAAGGAGAAAAGCCTGGCTAGGTCTTCGCTCCAACTTGGAAGGCAGTCGCTTGCCACAATCAGAGGCTCCTCGAGTTGGCGGTTGATCTTGGCGGTGAGCTTCGTGTTAATGAATTGGGCCAAGGGCTCAGAGGTGATGGTGGCAGTGTCTTTGCTATCGGTCAAGATATCATCAATTGTTGCGTTCATTTCGTGCAAGACACGAAGTAGGCGAATGATGGATGAAGTGGTGGGGTCTTTGTCGAGAGATGCCGGGATCTGAAGGGTATCACCCTCAGAGGAAGCCTGAGTGGTCTGTGTAAGGCTTGAGGGCTCTGGTGGTGGAGGGCCAGGAACGCGCTTAAACGTGATGGTGTGGACTGCAGACCAGACGTTCCTGGCACTACTCTCGTCCAAGTCCTCACGGTCGTGATGAACACCACGGTAGATAGTTGTCTCGTTAGTAACGGGCTTGCCATCTACGAAAAACTCAAGGTGCCAATCCTGGGGCACCGAGGCCATCGCAGCGGCATATGATGAGAACGGGCGCCCGGCAGTCGCGAGCGAGTTGTTGCGCATACGGCTGGGGAGAGCGGCAGGAGTTGACGATGATGAAGGTTTGGATGCAGCAGTCTGGGAGGGAGTTCCAACTCGGGTACCATCCTCCTTGCGAGCTGTGACCTTGCCCGAGGATGCCACCTCCATGTTTACTGCCGAAGGGTCAGACACATTGTCATTTTCCATATCCTCATCGAGATCATCAACAATGGCATTGAGTTCTTCGTCCTCATCTTCCTCGCCGCCGCCTTCTTCGTCGTCGGTCAGTTGCCTTTCATCTGCGCACTCGAGGGGCTCGTCATCGTGGTCCTCATCTTCATCCTCTTGAATCCGATTTGATTGATGAGGCGGGTGGCCGGTCCGATCATAGGCACCATCCGCAGAGTCGGTAATAGTGTCATGCGGGTCCCCTGTGTGACTTGGGAGGTTCATCCCAGACCCGGAAGCCAGCTGTTCACGAAGTCGGGATGCATTGGCAATTTGGGAGAGAATCGAGTCCCTGGTTCGTGAGGGGCGAGGCTTTTCTGCCATTGAAATTCGGGGATGAAGGAAGTCGTCCAAGGCCTTGAATGTAGCTATGGCATGTATTGACACCATGATATTGCGATAAGGACGAGGGACTTCGGACGCTTCGTCGGCAACCAGCTTGAGTCGGAGCTGCTTACTCAACATATAGGCGGCGTTGCTGCGGGTATTCTCCAGCGAATTGTGGCTGACGGTGAGGACTTCGAAATGTTCCGTCCTGCTAAGCAGGTCTTGCAACTTGCGGATAAGTACGCTGAAAGGTGTCGTGGCGGTGCTCTGGCTTTGAGCCTTGTCTGAGATTGAAACACCCATAAACGCTTGTAGGAAGTCGGCTCTAGCGTCACGAATAGAAGGTGCTTGAAAGTTACCCAGAACACAGAGAAGAACCTCTATGATGCCGGAGTTGAGCAACTCAGAGCTCGTAATGCTCTCCAAAGCGTCTCCGTCAAAGTATGACGCGAGCTGTTTAAATAACGGGAAACCACCCTCACCGCCACGAGAATAGCGTGACTTAATTTCGAAGGCGAGAGATTTCAGTGCTGTCAAAATCCTCAGAGCCTCTGCTCGAACAGTTTCGCCATGGCTTGCTTCATATACCTCGAGGAAAGCTTGAGCATCTCGGATAACTAGGTCATTTAGCGCATTGTCCATCTTCTGTAGACTGCGTGGACCCGCCATGAAGTCATCCTCGGAATCAGACATGTCATCATGGTCATCGTCCTCACCATCCTCGTCGTCATAGTCATCGGCTTCATCATCTTCATCATCATCATCTCCGACAGCTCCAGTCTCTCCGACACCTTGGTTGGCGCCGCGCGACGGATCTGTGGTCGTGTTTATATGTGTGGGATCAGATGAATCCGTGATCTCCTGGTCTCCTGATAGAGCGCCTTCGGACAGTTTGATGATAGCTGAGATCACTCCTTCACGGTGGAATTGGTGCTGATAAACATGTTCAAGCCGCTGGAACAGTAGCTCAGCGCAGCGTAGAGCCAAAGACACGAGAGAAGGGTGGTCTTTCTGGGACAGAATAGCAGCCAAGAACGAAGCATAAGGA